GGACTATACTTCATTGCAATAAGACCACACCTTACAGCAAAGGAAACTGGGAAATTTCAAGTAGCTGGGGAACTGTAAGCCCAGTACAATTCTGATATTAAGGGAAAAAGTGAGGGTGGATTTTGATGAAGTGCTAACAGTCTGTATTACATTCTGCCTCTGTATCACATCTTTAGCTAAGTGCATGATTATACCCAAAGTTGAGAACGGAAATCAATCCTTCATTTCTCTATCACTCCCAGTCTTCCTATCCAGTCTTCCTTCAACTACCTAGGTAATCTGCATGTGCTCCTGGATTTCCATTCCTGCTTCCACAGCACTACTTCAGGCTGTTATATCTGTTGCTTCAGCATGCAGCAGTCTCCCAAATTACCTCCCTGTGTAACCTTTCTAGGCTCGTCATACCCATTCTTTACCTTGCTGTCAGACCACTTCCAAATACAAAGATCTGATTGTGTGAGGCAGCTTAAGCCCCCTTAATAGTTACCTCCCTACTCACTGTCAAGGGTGTAAGCACCCCAAAACATCTGCAGCTATGCCTTTGAAAGTCAGGAGGTGATGCCAGATGGCTTCCTACTCTCTGCTTCAAACCTTGTCTCTTGGCCTTTCTGCCTCCCACCTGTACTCTGCCCATATCCTAGCTCCTTTCTGGCTCCTTTCACAGTGGAACTATCTGCCCAGCTTTTCATTTAGCTCTGCCCCTAGACATTGTTTCTCAGATCACCCTCAGCCTAACCTTCTTCAGATCATTTCATCTCACAAATCCAAACCCCAGAACTCCAACCCAGGACCCAGGTTTGCTTCTGTTCAGGAGACAAGTTTGGGCAGTGATCATGTCACTCTCTTCACCAAAAGCTCCATTGGTTCCCACTGCTGACTAAGTAACAGAGATTTCATAGAATTTTTTTTTTTTTTTTTTTTTTAGAGTGCCCTGACTGGCCTATGACTGATCCCATTTCCCACCTTACTGCCCCTTATGCTTATAATCTTAAAATTTCTCTGATTCTTCAAGATCTAACACATAACCTCTTCCATGAAGATTTTTTCATTCTTCTCTTTTGTATCCCATAGCATTATATTCTAACCTGTATGGCTTTTAGTATACAACATCTAGGGTGTATACTCCCCGCAGGCAGGGATTATGCCTTATTTATCTCTTTTCTCCCCATGCTGAGGAATAATGCTCTGGGAAATACCTTATGTATAGTAAGATCACATCATTCCCCTATTTAAAATGTCCCAGTATCTTTATCACTCAATCAAGGATAAAAGCTCTATAGAGGCCTATGTGGTCCTAGAAAATCTATGGTCCGTGATACCACTCCCCCCTTGCTCTGCCCTGTGCATCACACAGGCCTCCTGTGAACACATCAAGAAAGATCCCACCTCAGAGTTTTTGCACTTGTTCCCTTTTTGGGAACACTCCCTAGATATCTGCTTGGCTATTTCTCATATCCTCAGGACTTTCTCTTGAACGCCATTTGTCAACGAGGCCTTCCCTGACCACCATAACACTCTTTCCTTCTTTCCTGCTTATTGCTTCTCCATAATGTGTATTATCTCCTTTTATAATATTTCACTTATTTATTATTAATAGAAGGTGCTCAGTAAGTATTTGTTAAATTGAATTAAAAGTGTCAGAAACAGATGATTGTGAAATTGCCAAACTCTAAAAATACATTGTCAGTTTAGGGGAATGGTAAATYTATTTAAAGCTGCCTCACTATAAACATCCTTGAGAAAGGATTAAAATTGTGTACTTGAGGTAGGAGGGACAACTGGGCAAGGTAATCTGTATCTTTGTAGAAGCAGTTGGGGCTACATAATTTCTCCATGAGAGGAGGCATCTTGGAGCTGAACTGACACTGTTTGCCCAACCACCCCATTTGGACACTTGTTTGCTACACTAGTGTTTCTTTTAAGTTTTATTCCATCTTTGTCTGTCTCTTTCCTGATCTTGTGAAAGACAAAGAAATCTGGGGTAGCCTATATGACACTTCTCATCTCTTAGTAGGAAACTACCAGAAGTGAAAATGACAAGAAAAACATTACAGAAGGTTAGGGGTCTTGGGGAAGCAGAGCCCATTTTGCAGCAATGTAGCATGAAACTTTTTCTCTTCTACCCAGGCTGTGCTTTTCCACCSTCTGTGTGAAATTTTTTTCCCTGAGTTTATTCTTTTGCAGCTGCCAGTTTCCTACAGGAGGATGGCGCTCTGATCTCCATGTTCCCTTTTGCTTCAGGGACTCCATAGTATTTTTTTCACGCTTCGTCGCTACTACAGCAGACGCCTGCCTTCTCATTATTTGCTGTACAGATCTCGGGTGCCTTGACTGTAAACAAAACACTTTAGATCATAGTGAGGTCGGTGTAAGCACAGCCTTTCTGTTGGCAGCCAGACTTCTTAAGGTGGCATGACCATGACTCGTTTACTTTTAAGATTAACAGAGCAACAAAATGGAGCGCCTATATATCAGTTGAAAGATTGAGCTTGTGTAGGGAATGGAAGTATTAATTTTCTTTTTCATATAGATATAAATGTCGAGTAAAATCACAATTGTGGCAAGGTGAAGTATTCTGGAATTTCTCCATTTATATATAGGGGATAGTTTGTGTACATATGTCTGCAGTCTAGTGATTCTTTTAAAATTTGGATATTATCTAATTTCAGGGCTGGGGTATATTTTATGGTAGTAAGATCCACACTAATTTTCCTTTCCCTTCTTCCCTCATCCCCACTCTAATAAATTAAGTGGGAGCATTAAATGTAGAAAAAATAGTGGGGATGCAATGGTATGTGGGCTTGTAGTCCCAGCTACTTGGGAGGCAGAGTCCAGAATTTCAAGGCCAGCCTACATAA